CAGGGTTCCCACGTCTGTTTATTTGAGGCACCAAAGCAGGAGGCTCCAGCCTGAGGGGGGTGGTGGGGCTGCAGCTGGCTGTGGGGTGGGAGCCGATTCCTGGGCCTACGGCTGCCGGAGTGGGGCGTGGCTTCCGGGGAGCCCCAGAATGGGCTCTGCTTGGAGCCCCCGGCCCTGCCTGCCCCCCAAGCACAGCCCCCAAGGCCTCACAGACCCGTGTGCGTACAGCTGGGCGCCCACACCCCAGCACCCCCTTCCAGGCCCCTGTCAGGGCGGACTGGCCTGATGGACAGGGCCTGGGCTTGGGCCTCACGCCGTGTGTCCCCCCAAGACCCAGGCATAGCTGCTGACCCACAGGCCCCAGGGGGCCCCTCTGAGGAGCTCACATCATGGACCTGGAGTGAGGGCAGGCGGTGCCCTGGGGCAGGTGTAGGTGGGGGGGGGGGGCCTGCAGAGGAGACGAAGGCTGGGAGGGGGAGGCGGAGGGGGAGGGGGTGTGAGGCGTGAGGGTCTGGGCGGGGCGGGGCTTTTCTTCCTGAGCGGTGGGGTCAGGGGTCGGGGGTCGGGGCCGGGGGTCAGGGGCCGGGCGGCAGCAGGACCAGCAGGCTGAGCAGGAGCCCGAGGCCCAGCAGGGAGGTGCCGGCCCGCAGCCCGCCGGCCGCGCTGATGTTGCACAGGAAGCTCTGGCAGCAGTGGGTGCCCACGGACGCCACGCCGATGTTGATGCCGGGGGGCGCGGGGCAGATGGGGGAGCAGCCCTTGTTCAGACTGTAGCCGAGGTCCACCACGTTCCCTGCGCGGGGAAAGGAGGGTGAGTGGAGGCCGCAGGACCGGCGGGGGGGCGGGGGGGAGGGGGCAGCACGCACCGATGCCCGCGGCCGCGGAGACGGTCACGCAGTAGTTGTCCGTGTCCTCGCAGACGGTGGGCTTCAGGCAGTAGAAGTTACTTTTCTGATTCGTGCACGAGAAGCACACCAGGGAGTGGGCTGCGGAGGAAGGAGGCCGCAGGCTGCAGGCGGCACCCTGGCCCGGGGGCAGGGGGCAGGAGGGGGCAGGGAGGGCCTCCGGGAGCAGGTCACAGCGCACAGGCCTGCCCGGGCTCACCTTGCTCCACACCCAGGAGGGCGGCCAGCAGCACGGGCAGGAAGACCTTCATCTTGAGGGACAGCTCAGGTCGGGCCTCACATGCAAAGAGAGCCGCTCTGCCTTATCCTTAAAAAATATATGTTTTTATTGATGTCAGAGAGGAAGGGAGAGGGAGAAAGAGACGTCGATGATGAGAGAGAATCATGGATCGGCTGCCTCCTGCATGCCCCCCTGGGGATCGAACCTGCCACCTGGGGAGGTGCCCTGACTGGGAATCGAACCCGAACCGTGACCTCCTGGTTCATAGGTTGCTGCTCAACCATTGAGCCATGCTGGCTGGGCGCCACTCTGCTTTAGAGACACAGCTTGTCGGACAGAGGGTGGGACCCTGGCTCCCACCAGGACCCCCCTTGTACAGGGTGGGGTGGGGGGACTGCTGCTTCCAGCAATAGAAGGAGAACATGGGGTCTTTCTGCTCCCCTCTCCCCTCCTCTCCCTTCCCTTCCCCTCCCCTCCCCTCCCTGCAGCCTCCAGCTCGGGCTGCTGGGAGCAGGGCACCGCCTTCGGAGAAGCACACAGCCAGGAGGTCAGAGGGGTGGCCCCTGGTCCTGGGGGGCGTGGGGGGGGGCAGCTGGAGCTGCACATGGGGACCCAGGGGCTGGATGGGAGGTACAGCCAGCTGAGCACCTGCCCGGGGGCTGCCTGGCGCTCGACCTCAGACGTTCCGGGAGGTATTGATGATGAAGACCCAGACCCGGTAAGTACCTGCTTCTCCCCAATTTTGTGGCTGGAAACAGGCCAGGGAGAGCCAGTGGGTGCTCTGGGCGGGCAGGGGCACAGGAAGCTTCCACGGTGGGTGTGAGCCCGTGGCCGTGGCCGTGGCCGTGGGCGGGCAAAGCATGCGCGTGTGCCTGGCGGAGGCTCTGGGCCTGTTCGGCAGGAGGCGCCGTGGGGGAGGGTCTGGGGCGCCTGCGGGGCCGGCTGTGGGCGGGGGAGTTCCAGGCTCCCCGGGAGGGACGGGCTGGCGGAGACCCCGAGAATGGGTCCCAGGCCTCGCCTGCCTGCCCTGGGCCTGGGCCCGCATCTGGGCCTGGGGGTGCCCTTGCCCTGGGCCGTCCCTGGGCCCCGGTGCTCCGGGAGGAAGCCTGTCCTTCCTCTTCCCTGAAGTGCGGTTTGGGTTTGGGCGTGGGGAGCCGGCGCTGTCCTCGCAGGAGCTCGGGTAACACGCCCACCAACGGCCCACCGCGTCCTGGCCAGGCCCCCGGCCAGACCCCCAGACCCCAGCCAGGCCCCCAGCCAGACCCCCGGCCAGGCCCCCAGCCAGGACCCCGGCCCGGCCCCCAGCCAGGACCCCGGCCCAGAACCCCAGACCCCAGCCAGGCCCCAGCCAGGCCCCCAGCCAGGCGGGTCGGGGCGCCCGGAGCGGACGAGCATTTGCAGGGTCAGGCCAGGCAGCCGTGCGCTTCCGGCGGTGCCATCCAGGACCCGGGCTCCCCCACCTCCCCCGCCCCGCCCGGCCCAGGGCTGGTTTCTGGGAGAGCGGGGCTCCCAGGACTCGGCCAGCGGGAGCTGCGCGGGCCCCGGGGGTGGGAAGGGACCAGGTGGCCCAGCGCCGGGCCCGGGCTCCAGGCGCCGCATCTGCCGGCGTCATCGATGCCGGCCCCACAGGGCGCCCCGCCGCCGGCCCGGGCGGCCCGGTCCCGGGTGGTCCACGCGGAGGCGGTCAGTTCTGCCGCCGCCCGAGCCCGGCCGCTTCTCGCTCCGGACGGCGGCCTCCCCGAACCCACGCGAGCGGCCGCGGGAGCCCAGCGCCGGGCGAGCCGAGCCTGCGCAGCCCCGGCCGCCGGCAGGGAGGGCGCCCGGTCTCCGCGCGCCCAGACCTTCGGGAGCGGCGGCCGGGGCTGCTCAGCCCGGGGCCCGGCCCACCCGCTCCGACGCCCGGAGCTCCCCCGCGGCGCCTGGGCCCCGCTCCCGGTCCCGGTCCGGCCCGCGGCTCACCGCGCTGCGCGCTGCTCCTCCGCCAGCCCGACTGCCCGGCCGCACTCGCTCGCGGGCGGGACTCGCAGGCGGATGGCGGGGCGGGGCCGGGGCGGGCGGGGCCGGGCTTTCCCGCGCGGGGGGCGGAGTCGGGGGCCGAGCGGACCCTGATCCCGGCCCCGCTGGCTGGTCCCCTGGTCCCCGGCGAGGCCGAGGCTGCGGGGAGGGGCCCCGTGCGCGCGGGCGGAAGGCCCACAGGTGGGCGGACGCGCGAGGGGCTGAGCGTGGGGAGGGCGTGCGTCCCCGGAGGCCTCCCCGGAGCGGGCGGAGGGGGAGGGGAGGAGGGCAGGGGAGGGGGGCGGGGCGGCCTTCCCCTGGCTGGCCCTCCCGTGGGTGCGTCAGGGAGGGTGGGGTGATGGGACCAGAGCGCGAGGTTGGAGGAAGGGCTGCTGGCCGCGACCCCCGCGGGAGAGCAGGCCCCACCGGGTCCATCCTCGCAGGCTCGGGCTCGGACCCTCCTCCCCTGCGCGCCCAGACCCTCTGCCAGATGGACTTCAGCCTTTTGTGAACCCGGGGCCCCGGTCTGCAGCGAGCGGTCACTCACAAAGCCAGCCGCCCCGACCCTGGGCCAGGACCCGAGGCCCCTGTGAGAAGGAGCCGGCAACCTTGTCCCGGCATCGGCCTCCACGTGCCCCGTGCCCGCTCCTTCCCGCAGAGTCACAGCTCCTGGGCGGGCGGCCGGGCGGGCCTGCACCCCCTCATGGCCAGCAGCCGCTCCTGCTCTGGCCGGCGGGATGGGGGCCAGCGGGTCAGCAGGCGGGCAGCTGGGCCTTCAGCCCTCCGTTCCCCTGCCCCATGCGGCTCCCTCCTTCCTGAGGGCCTCCTGTGTGCCCCGGACTCACACCTCACCTCACACTCACAGCTCATCCCGGCAGCAGCTCGCACCTGGCCTTTTGCTCAGCTTTTCTGGGTGTTGGCTGTGAGGCTGTGACAGGAACCGGGGCCCAGGAAAACGGCTTCTTCACTGACCGGTGGGGGGAGGGGGGTGGGGGGACGGGGAGGGGGGCAGGGAGCAGTCCTGTGGGCAAGGCCTAGGGAGTACATTAGGTACCAGGTGAGTGAGTGCGGGAGTGTATGTGTGCTTGAGTGCGTGCCAACATTGATGAGAGTGTGTGCATTAATGTGAGTGCATGAGTGTGAGTGCATGAGTGTGTGTGCATGAATGTGAGTGCATGACTGTGTGCATTAGGGTGAGTACATGAGTGTGAGTACATGAGTGTGTGTGCATGAATGTGAGTGCATGAGTGTGTGTACATGAGTGTGTGTACATGAATGTGAGTGCATGAGTGTGTGTACATGAATGTGAGTGCATGACTGTGTGTGTGCTTGAGTGTGTGTGCATGAATGTGAGTGCATGAGTGTGAGTGCATGAGTGTGTGTACATGAATGTGAGTGCATGACTGTGTGCATTAGGGTGAGTACATGAGTGTGAGTACATGAGTGTGTGTGCATGAATGTGAGTGCATGAGTGTGTGTACATGAGTGTGTGTACATGAATGTGAGTGCATGAGTGTGTGTACATGAATGTGAGTGCATGAGTGTGTGTACATGAATGTGAGTGCATGACTGTGTGCATTAGGGTGAGTACATGAGTGTGAGTACATGAGTGTGTGTGCATGAGTGTGTGTGTGCATGAGTGTGAGTACATGAGTGTGTGTACATGAGTGTGTGTGCATGAGTGTGAGTGCATGAGTGTGAGTACATGAGTGTGTGTGCATGAATGTGAGTGCATGAGTGTGTGTGCATGAATGTGAGTGCATGAGTGTGAGTGCATGAGTGTGAGTACATGAGTGTGTGTGCATGAGTGTGTGTGCATGAGTGTGTGTGCATGAGTGTGAGTACATGAATGTGAGTGCATGAGTGTGAGTGCATGAGTGTGTGTGCATGAGTGTGTGTGCATGAGTGTGTGTACATGAGTGTGTGTGCATGAGTGTGTGTGCATGAGTGTGTGTGCATGAATGTGAGTGCATGAGTGTGAGTGCATGAGTGTGTGTACATGAATGTGAGTGCATGACTGTGTGTGTGCTTGAGTGTGTGTGCATGAATGTGAGTGCATGAGTGTGAGTGCATGAGTGTGTGTACATGAATGTGAGTGCATGACTGTGTGCATTAGGGTGAGTACATGAGTGTGAGTACATGAGTGTGTGTGCATGAATGTGAGTGCATGAGTGTGTGTGCATGAGTGTGTGTGCATGAATGTGAGTGCATGAGTGTGTGTACATGAGTGTGAGTACATGAGTGTGTGTGCATGAATGTGAGTGCATGAGTGTGTGTGCATGAGTGTGTGTGCATGAATGTGAGTGCATGAGTGTGTGTACATGAGTGTGTGTACATGAATGTGAGTGCATGAGTGTGTGTACATGAATGTGAGTGCATGAGTGTGTGTACATGAATGTGAGTGCATGACTGTGTGCATTAGGGTGAGTACATGAGTGTGAGTACATGAGTGTGTGTGCATGAGTGTGTGTGTGCATGAGTGTGAGTACATGAGTGTGTGTACATGAGTGTGTGTGCATGAGTGTGAGTGCATGAGTGTGAGTACATGAGTGTGTGTGCATGAATGTGAGTGCATGAGTGTGTGTGCATGAATGTGAGTGCATGAGTGTGAGTGCATGAGTGTGAGTACATGAGTGTGTGTGCATGAGTGTGTGTGCATGAGTGTGTGTGCATGAGTGTGAGTACATGAATGTGAGTGCATGAGTGTGAGTGCATGAGTGTGTGTGCATGAGTGTGTGTGCATGAGTGTGTGTGCATGAGTGTGTGTGCATGAGTGTGTGTACATGAGTGTGTGTGCATGAGTGTGAGTACATGAGTGTGAGTACATGAGTGTGTGTGCATGAGTGTGTGTGCATGAGTGTGTGTGCATGAGTGTGTGTACATGAATGTGAGTGCATGAGTGTGAGTGCATGAGTGTGAGTACATGAGTGTGTGTGCATGAATGTGAGTGCATGAGTGTGTGTGCATGAGTGTGTGTGCATGAATGTGAGTGCATGAGTGTGTGTGCATGAGTGTGTGTGCATGAATGTGAGTGCATGAGTGTGTGTGCATGAGTGTGTGTACATGAATGTGAGTGCATGAGTGTGTGCATTAGGGTGAGTACATGAGTGTGAGTACATGAGTGTGTGTGCATGAGTGTGTGTACATGAGTGTGTGTACATGAGTGTGTGTGTGCATGAGTGTGTGTGCATGAGTGTGTGTGCATGAGTGTGAGTGCATGAGTGTGTGTGCATGAGTGTGAGTGCATGAGTGTGTGTGCATGAATGTGAGTGCATGAGTGTGTGTACATGAGTGTGTGTACATGAATGTGAGTGCATGAGTGTGTGCATTAGGGTGAGTACATGAGTGTGAGTACATGAGTGTGAGTACATGAGTGTGTGTGCATGAGTGTGTGTACATGAGTGTGTGTACATGAGTGTGTGTGTGCATGAGTGTGTGTGCATGAGTGTGTGTGCATGAGTGTGAGTGCATGAGTGTGTGTGCATGAGTGTGAGTGCATGAGTGTGTGTGCATGAGTGTGTGTGTGAGTGGAGTGTGCCTGCAGAGTTCTGGGCTCTGGGGCAGCTCCTTGCCTGGCCTGCGACATCAGGTGCAGGAGCAGGGACAGGCCCGTGTGGAATGATTCGGGCTTTTTCCTTGGGGGCTGAAGTCCAGGTGTGTGTGTGTCATGGGCTGTCCCCGCCCAGGTGGGGTGACACTGGTGGTTCCAGAACACTGGGGTGAGGGCCCACTGTCCCCGGGACACGGGCGTGCAGCAGGCCTCTGCCCTTCAGGGGCCAGGACTGAAGCCTGGCAGGGCTACTCTCCTGTCCCAGACAGCGGCCTCCCGCATGCATCCTGAGCTTCGAGCTTGTCCCCAGGGGGTGATATCCCTCTGACCCTCCAGAGGGGGGCGCTCTGGGCCCCTGCCTGCCTGTCTGGGCAGGAGCAGCCCTGCACCACGTGTTTGTCTGGGCCCCTGGCTTGGTGCCTCCCCCAGAACATCAGCCCTGAGGCCGGCAGTGGCTGTGTCCAGCAAGCAGAGCCTCGGCCATGGCAGGCGCCCAGCCAGTGCTGTGGGTGAAGGCCCAGGGGGCGTGGCCTCCAGAGGCAGCCCCGCAGCTCGCACACCAAACTGCGTCAGGAGGGTCCTCAGGGTCTGGACGACCAGCTCACAGGTGTCCCAGCGTCATGCTGGGGATCCCACAGGAGACTCAGGCACCCTTTGGAAATGTGTCCTGCCCCGCCGGCCCGCGGCTCAGTGGTTGAGCGTTGACCTATGAACCAGGAGGTCACAGTTCAATTCCAGGTCAGGGCCCGGGCCGGGTTGCGGGCTCCATCCCCAGCGAGGGGCGAGCAGGAGGCAGCCGATCCATGGTTCTCTCTCACCACGGATGTTTCTCTCTCTCCCTCTCCCTTCCTCTCTGACATCAATAAAAAAATATATATATATATAAAATATGGAACGCTTCATGAATTTGCGTGTTATCCTTGTGCAGGGGCCATGCTAATCTTCTCTGTATCGTTCCAATTTTAGTATCTGTGCTGGCAAAGCCAGCACTAAAAAAATATATTTTTTAAAAAGAGAGAGAAAATGTGTCCGACTGCCCACGGCCGAGCCCCTGGTTGTGTGACGAAAGGTCACCAGTGGCCTGTGGAGTCCCGCGGAGGTCATGGGGCAGGGGCCGGCATGCAGTCCAGCTGGCACGTCTGCGAGGGTGGCCGTGTGGTCACTCAGCCGCTGCTCTCGGGGCCTCCAGCTGGTCCCGCTGTGACCCTGTGGCCCCCCTTTCCACACAGACCTTAACCTCTGGCCTGTGCTCCGGCAGCAGCATAACCCCGAGCCCCCAGCCCAGCACCTGCCCTGTGTCTCAGGTCCGGCCGCCCACCTGCTGGGGTGGCTCCGCTGTCCCCGGACCTCAGGCCGGGAGGCAGGTCTGAACTCGCCAGGTGTGTGCTCTCCGGCCGCCTGGGCCTGGCTTGGGCCCTCAGGAATGTCAGCAGGCCATTTGGTTGCCTGGGTCTCTCCGCTGAAAACATGGGCCAGCAGCCATGGGGGTGTGGCCTGGGCAGGAGCCAGCCGGTGGTCCTGGCACAGCCCCGCATTCTGGGGCCGCCTTGAGGGGGAGAGTTTCGGGGTGAGGGGGGTCCAGAGCTGAACTTCCCATCTCCCCGGGGCACGGAGCCACCAGCTCCCAGAGGGGAGGGGAACCTGGCAAGCAGTGCCCTGTCGGGCGTGGGCACCGGGCTCCATCCCTGGGGTGGACAGAGGGCTGCATCCGGGGCCCAGAACACCGCCTGGCCCCATTGGTGTGACTGATGTTGGTTGTCTGCCTTTGAGGTCTGGTTGCTCTCTGGTCAGCACCCTGTGGCTTTAGCCTTCTGTCACCTGGGCCAGTCCCCGCCTGAGGACGTGCCCTCCCAGTGACCTCTCAGGGCAGAAGGTAATCCCCCAGGACGTGCAGCGGGTGGCCGCGCCGCCATCCCCCCGGGCCCCAGGGTTCTAACCAGGGGGCAGCCACCCTCTCAGGTGCTCTGTGCTCCGTGCCCTCCCCTCCTGCCATGGAAACCGCTGGCACTTCCCCACTGTGAACACTGCCTGGCAGGTACTAGGTCTCAGGAAGTAACTGGATGGGCACATTACACGGAAATACAGCTCGAGAGATGGTGTTGTGGGGACAAGAAGCCACAGACTGAGAATTCATCATTATTTTTAAAATATATTTTTACTGATTTCAGAGAGGAAGGGAGAGACAGAAACATCAATGATGAGAGAGAATCATGGATCGGCTGCCTCCTGCACGCCCCACACTGGGGATGGAGCCCGCAACCCGGGCCTGTGCCCTGGACTGGAATGGAACTGGGGACCCTTAAGTCCGCAGGATTACGCTCTATCCACTGAGCGACACTGCCCAGGGACCAAAGTCCTCCATTGTTGCCTCTCAGCCATGCAGTGGCCCTTCAGGTCCCACCTCCCCCCAAGTTCTCAGCCCTCCTGGGGGTCCCGCGGGCCCCTGGGGCTCCCGCCACTCCCTGGGGAGGCCCAGGAGGCCTGGCCGAGCGCCCCTCCGCGTCAGCCCAGAGGGGCCCGTGTCCCTGTCCCTGGTGCTGGTCCTCGTCCCGCGGCCCTCGCGCGCCCTCTCGTGGCCGAGGCGCGCGCCGCACAGTGTGAAGCGGCTCCGCGAGCGGGTGCTGGGGGCGGGACCCGGGTTCCAGTTCCATTCCGCCCACAGAGGCCGCCGTGGGCAGCGCGGTTGGGGCACTACCTTCCGCTCCTGGGGGCCGGGTGCTGGCTGAGCTTGGAGCCCCTCTTTGGAAGGTGCTCCCTTTGGGCCCACATGGGGAGACCAGGCCCTCGCCAGCCAGCCCGCCCTCTCCTGCCCACCCGCCGTCCTTAGACGCGCTGGGCACCCCGCCCCGGAAGGGGAGGCCGCGGGGGGGAGGGGGGTGCTCTGTGAGCTGGGTGTGGCCCCTCGCTGAGTCCCCAGCCCCTCACCTCTCGCCTTAGGGCACAGGCGCACTTGGGGCTGCTGCCTGAGTGGGCGGAGCCGGGGGGAGGGGCAGGGGAGGGAGAGGGGAGGCAGGGGGCGGGCTGGGAAGAGGGGGAGGTGCAGTTCTGGGGAAACAGAAACTAGAGAACCGCCCGGGTCTCACACAGGATGCCCAGTCCTGCGGCTCCACTGGCGTAGCGCCCCTCCCTAAACACGCAGCACACACGTGCTGCCCACGACACACAGCACGCATGCACACGCCCCACACATGCACACCCCACACATGCACAACCCCCACACATGCACACGCCCCACACATGCACACCCCACACATGCACAACCCCCACACATGCACAACCCCCACACATGCACACGCCCACATATGCACACGCCCACACATGCACACCCCACACATGCACAACCCCCACGCATGCACACACCTCACACATGCACGCATCCCACACATGCACACCCCACACATGCACACACCCCACATTGCATACAGCCTCATCCATGCACTGTGCTCCCTGACTCTCTGTGTGCGTCTCTGCCAGGTATGACCAGGTGTGACCAGCCCTGGCCGTGGAGAGAGGTGCAGCCACCGCCCACTCCACAGAAAAGCCAGCTGCGCAGCAGGCCCAGCAGGACAGACACCAAATCTGGGGCTGAGAGGAAGGCCCGCTTGGACTGGTCGGCCAGCTTCCTGGAGGCCATGGCTGGGCAGGCCTGTGCCCACGGGCCCCTCAGATGTGGGGGGCTGCAGAGGGTACTCGAGACCTCGCTCCGGCAGCACCTGGAGGCCCCGGGCGCTGGTAGTTCACAAACACACAGGTGACCCAAGTGGGTGCCAAGGGTCAAGACTCAAGATGGGAGCGGTGATGGGTGATCAGGTGAACGCCCTGGCCGGGAGCCCTGGGCGGTGGGCGGGGCCGTCCCAGGTGAGGTGCCAGCTCCTGGCGGGCTCTGGACCCCAGGCGAGGCTGCAGCGGACAGTGGGTGCTGTGAACACGCTGGTGCCCGGACCAGTGAGTGGCGTCCGGTGCTTCGCCTGTACCGGCTCTGTAAGGAGTTAGCGCCCGAGGAAGCTGGGGAAGCGGATGGAAACCGGACTATTTTTGAAACTTCTTTGTAAGTGTGAACTGATTGCAAAAAAGGAAAGTGAAAAATGTTTGCAAAGCAGTGTGAAATGGGTGCGGGGCGCCCTGGCACCGGGAGAGGCCAGCAGGGCGGGCACCCCTCCCCCACACCTCCCCCTGAGCCCCACTGCACAGGGTGGGGGGGGCGGTGTCACGGCTCTCCCATGGGGCTGTGCTGGGGCTGGGCAGACGCAGGAGGAGGGGCTGGAGCTCCCAGATTGCCTGGCTCCAGAGCTCCCGCCCTGCGCTTCCTCGCAGCGCCAGGCATGGGGAGGAGTGGCCCCCTTGTTTGGGTTTGGGGCTCAGGTGGTGAGAGGACCCCTGGGAGGGGTCCCTGGTCTGTTCTGCTCCCCGGCTCCCCCCGGCTCCCCCCAGCTCCCCGGGAAGAAAACGGAGTCGGGGCGGGGGTCATGTCCCAGCGGCCCTTGGGGGGGCGAGGGCAGCACCTGGCCCCGCACTCGTCTGGCCGGTAATGTGGGTTCTTGACTCCACGCAGGAAAGTGTTCACGACGTGGGGCCGGTGGTTTTGATCCGAGGTTTATTGAAGCTGGGGCGCTGGAGGAAGGGAGGGCTCAGGGGAGAGCCCAGGCAGGGTGCTCGACTCCCTGGAAAGGACAGGAGGGAGGGAGCCCCGCTGGCTGCCTGCCCCACTGCCGGGAAGGTTGCCAGAGGGAAGGGCGGAGGCCGAGGCAGGGCTGCCCGGCTCACTGCACAGTCAGCGAAGCGAGACAGGTGAGCCCACTGCTCTCCTGGTCTTGGGTCTTGTGGGGACCCTTAGAGCTTCGGGGAAGGAGCATGGAGATACAGGAGCCAGGGAGACGGGTGGGCCTGCTCTAGAGAGAGAGGAGGGAGCGCCTGCTAGCTCTCCTGTAGCGGGAACCCCAGGGGTGGTCTCGGGGAGGCTCTCGCTAGAATATTCACCAGCTTTCCACTGTCACCTGGCCCTAACCCTGTGGGGCTGGCTGCCAGGGCCTGCCAGCAAGGTGACGCCAGCCGGCTCCCAGCTGTTCCAAACCTCTCCCACCCACGAGGCCAGGGGGCCCCAATCCGGAGGGTCAGTGCGAAGGGGCAGCCGGCACTGCATATGGAGGACTTTATTAAAGGGAGCACATGGGCCCTGGCTGGTGTGGCTCAGTGGATAGAGTGTTGGCCTATGGACTGAAGGGTCCCGGGTTCGAATCCAGTCAAGGGCACATGCCCAGATTGCGGGCTCGATCCCCAATGGGGGGCGTGCAGGAGGCAGCTGATCAATGATTCCCTCTCATCATTGATGTTTCTCTCTCTCCCTCTCCCTCCCTCTCTGACATCAATAAAAAACATATTTTTTTAAAAAGGGAGCACGTGGCTGCGTGTGGCTGACCTGCCCCACCCCCTTCCTCCACAGGCTTCTCTGTAGTCGCCCTGATGCCAGCCTGTGGGGGTGGCCATCCTGCCTGCCTTCAGGGGTATCATTGGCCCAGATGTCCAACTGGGCCCCTCGGTGGCCATTCTAGTAGCCGCTGCCGTCTATCCAGCCCCGTGGCTGGGAGGCTCAGCCAGTTGCAGAGGATGGCAGTGCCAGGAGGGCCCGTGGCTGGAAACAGGCAGGTGGGCAAATAGCAGCCCGGCTGGATGCTCAGCGCTAGGCAGAGCACGGCGGACAAGGAGCGCGGCCCGAGCAGGACAGGGGACCCTGCTGTCAGTTCTCGCAGGGGAAGAGCAGGACTGGACAGGAGGCAGGGGACAGGGTCAGAGGCCCCTTGGTGGACACATGAGCGGGAGCCAGTCCTGGGGTGACCGGTGGGGCCAAGGCCCTCGGATGGTGTTCCTCGTAGGAGAAGGCGCTGGGGGGACTGGGCACAGAGCCCTGACCTGCAGCCAAGACGCACCCCCGGCTCTGCCTGACCTCAGAGGGCCTGGCTGTTCCGCCTGTGGAGGTGCTGGCTGGGCAGTGGGTGAGGCAGGAAGCAGGGCCCGGGTCGGGCACAGGGGAGCTGGGGGCGCGGCGCGTGGGCGGTGAGGGCGCTAGCTGGCGGCCCGGAAGGTCAGGAGCGGGATGACTGACGGCATCAGCACGAACCGGTAGACCATCCTCACATCCGCCTGCGTCAGCGTGTCCACCTGGAAGCGTTTCAGCACCTGGAACAGAGGTGCGGCTCCGCCTGAGGACCGGCCTGTCCCCCGGCCCAGGTCCTGGCGCAGCCTCTGCCTTCCAGGCCGCCCTCAAGCCCCGCCCATCCAGCCCCGCCCATCCAGCCCCGCCCATCCAGCCCCGCCCACAAAGCCCCACCCCGGCCCCGGCCCCGCCCATCCAGCCCCGCCCACAAAGCCTCACCCCAGCCCCGGCCCCGGCCCCGGCCCCGGCCCCGCCCACTCCAGCCCCGCCCACTCCAGCCCCGCCCACAAAGCCCCACCCCGGCCCTCAGCCCCGCCCAGGCCGCTCACGTGGTGCAGCAGCAGCAGCATCTCCATCTCCGCCAGGCGCCGCCCCAGGCACTGTCGGGGGCCAAAGCCGAAGGCCAGGTGGGGCAGCCGGGCGCCGGAGCCCCTGTCCAGCCAGCGCTGGGGCTGGTAGAGCTCGGGCCTCGCGAACACGGAGGGGTTGCGTCCCATGTAGTAGAGCTGCACTGTGATCAGCGTCTGCAGGCGGTGGGAGGGCAGGGTCAGCAGGCGGGCGGAGGTCCCCTGCTGGGTCTGCGGGAAGCACCGGGCCTCACTCACCCCGGCCGGGATGTGGTAGTTCTGCAGGACCAAGTCCGAGTTCACCTGTCGGTCCACAGAGATGCCCACGGGGTACAGCCTGTGGACGGGGCAGTAGCAGGGTCTTCAGTGGGGCACGGCCGCCCAGGGCAGACTCCTACCCTCACAGGTCCCTTTGGGACTGGGACCTGCGACCATGCACCACCTGAGCTCAGCCCCAGCGACCTGCAGTGAGGCCCGGAGGACAAGGAACCCCTCTCCTTAGGGGGAGGGGGAGGCGGGCAGGGTGCATCCTTGGGCAAAGCTCCCACAGCCCCAGGACCTGTGCTTGAGCCCAGGCAGTGGTCCAGGTGGCGGGGGGCCCATGAGCGCACCCACCTCAGGGTCTCCTTGAGCGCCGCCCGCAGCAGGGGCAGCTCGGCCACGGCCCTCTGGGGGTTCTCAGAGATGGTGGCCTCGGCCTGCAGGCTCTCCTGACGCAGGGCCTGCTGCACCTCGGGGTTGCGTGCCAGCTCGAAGAGGGTCATCAGCAAGGGGTAGGCCGTCTGCGGGAGCGGGGAGCGTGCTCAGACCTCCCCCAGGCCGTGCGCCTCAGCCCCAGGCCCCGCCCTGGGCAGGTGTCTCAGACCCAGGGCTGTGCCTGCTGAGCGCAGGATGGAGCCCAGGGAACTAAGACTGCAGGACCCTAAACCCACCTCCTCTCCTTTCCCGGAGCCCCAGCCCCAGGGAGACCTGGCCCTGCCACCTCCAGCCAGTTCCCACCCTCCTCTGGCTCCAGCAGGGGCTCCCCCTTGCCCCTGGAGCCCCAGGTCCATCTGCCCCCTGGGCAGCTGCAGCCAACTCCCCTGCCCCCCGGGCCATTCCCATGTGCAGGGAGAGGCACCCCCAGCCCAGCCTGGGATCTGGGGGACGGATGCTCTCCTAAATCTCATCCCCATGGCAACGCGCCCTGCATCTCCAGACACAGGGCAGTGACCTGCCTGCTGCCCCTTGTCCACGCTGCGCCCTGTGATCAGTGGAGGCCCTTCTCTGTTACTGGGGGGACCCCTGCTCCAAGCAGCCTGCAGGGCAATGAGGCCTGGCACTGAGGCCCTGCCTTGCAGGAGTCCTGACCTCTCTGCCCTTATCTGCCCCCCACTCGGCCTCACTGCCTCCCCTGGCTGCCTGCTGCCACTGCCGCCCTGGACTGCTGCCCTCCGCGCCCCGCAGGCCTGGCTACCTCCTGTGCGGTTGTTCCACATTCAGCGCAAGTCCTCACCCCCAGGAGGCCGGCCTAGAGCCGCCCCAGGCACATTCTCCCCCGTCCCTCGCTCGCCACATGACAGCATCTTGGCTTCTGGTCGGGGAGGGTCTTGCATCTCGGGTTCCAGGCCCAGAGCAGCCTGGGAGGCTGGGGGGAGGTTGGGTCTGGAGGCAGGAGGCGTTGGCTGCATGCCACGCTCTCGGCCCCGCCCTGCCTGCCACGGGAGGTTGCCATCTGCTCTCTCCGCCACAAGCGGGAGCCTGTGCTGCCCTTCCTGCCACCAGCTGTCGCCTCCCCGGGGTCTTTGAGGAGAGCCAATGCCATCTGTCCCCGGCAGGGCCCCTGTGCGGCCGCGTGTGGGCTGTGCCCCTCTCCTTGGACCCGATGGTCTGCAGGCGGCCGGTCCCTCTGCGGGCTGCCCGGTGCCTGGGTCCCCACCAGGGACACAGACCCGCCTGTGAGGACGCTCGTGTGCCTCCCTCCGGCTCCTCATTCCCAGCGGAGCCAGGACCGAGGCCGCGGCAGCGCAGCCTGGGAGGGCGGCGGCCCCTCGGCCCCAGGACGCTTCGGGGAGCCCCGGGGCCCCATGTGCTGCGGGCCGGGCGGGGCTGGCCTGACCGTGTCCACGCTGCCGGCCGTGAGGTCGATGGAGCTGGCCTTGATGGCGTCCAGCGTCATGTCCGCGTGCAGGAGCAGCTCCGCCACCACGCCGCTGTAGTGCTGAGGGCGGCCGAGCGCCAGCTCCTGGTAGATCTTCTGGATGGAGTTATTGGCTGTGGGCACAGAAGAGCCCTCCTGTCATCAGCCGTCAGCCGCCAGCCCCGGCTCTCGGCCAAGGCCTGGCGCCCTCTGTGGGCCTTGGTTCCCTACTCCCCACTGAGGACCCGGGCCCGCCATGCAGCCCACCTGGCGCCCCCCCACTCCCCCTCTGCCCGCCCCCCCCACTCACCTTCCCTGCCCCCTCCGCCCATCCTGCCCACCCCGCCCGGCCTGCTCACCACCCTCACCCCCTCTCACCCCCCTTCAACCCCCTCACCTCCCCGCACCCGCTGCTCACCTCCCCCACCCGCTGCTCACCTCCCCCACCCGCTGCTCACCTCCCGCACCCGCTGCTCACCTCCCCCACCCGCTGCTCACCTCCCCCACCCGCTGCTCACCTCCCGCACCCGCTGCTCACCTCCCCCACCCGCTGCTCACCTCCCGCACCCGCTGCTCACCTCCCCCACCCGCTGCTCACCTCCCGCACCCGCTGCTCACCTCCCCCACCCGCTGCTCACCTCCCGCACCCGCTGCTCACCTCCCGCACCCGCTGCTCACCTCCCCCACCCGCTGCTCACCTCCCGCACCCGCTGCTCACCTCCCCCACCCGCTGCTCACCGTACTGGAAGATGCAGTCCCAGGCCTCGAAGTGCTCCTGCCACACCTTGGCGCTCGTCCAGCGGGACAGGCTCCGGGGCATGAACATGAGCCGCATGGTGGACTCCAGCATGGCCTGCAGCGCGTGGATGAAGTCCAGGCTGGCCCGGCTTGGGCTCTGGCTGAGGAGGCCCAGCCGCTCTCCGAAAAGGACCAAGTTGCTGGCTGTGGGAGGAGGGGCCGCTGAAGGCATGGCAGCCCAGGGCCTCACCGCGGCCTCCTGCCTGCCCTACCTGCCCTGGCCCCCCGGCCCCCCGGCCCCCTGCCCCCTGGCCCCTGGCCCCTGACCTGTGGCCCCTGACCCGCGGCCCCGTGCCCCTGCCTCTGGCCCCTGACTGCTGGCTCCTGGCCCCTACCCCTGGCCTCTGACCTGTGGCCCCTGCCCCGCGGCCCCCTGCCCCTCCCCCTGGCCCAGGCCGGCTGGAGACCCACCTTCCAGGGTGTAGTAGAAGATGCTGGGCTGGATGTCCAGGGTCAGGCTCCCCCGTGCGTTCTGCTGCACCTTCGCCATCAGGGCCCCACAGAAGTCCCTCGCCACCCTGTCCACCATGGGGATGAACTTCTGGACGGCCTGCGGCGACATCACGTCGGGGTTCAGCCGCAGGCGGTCCGAGCGCCAGGCCGGCCCGTTTCTGTGGAGCAGAGAGCGTGCTTCAGGGCCCCCGAGTCAGCAGCAGGCCCAGCTCTGCCCCATCTTGCTCATCTCCAAGGGGCACGGTGGGCAGGGGCCGCTGCTGGTTTGCGGGGGTCCCAGTGGGTGATGCCGGGCGCACGATCCCTCGGCGGGGCCACGACCAGGCTTCTGGCTAAACATGCTGCAGGGCTCACTGAGTTTGCTCTGGCCGACCGGCTGGCCTGGGGCCTGGCACTCCTGTCCCCATCCAGGCCCTCGGTGCTATGGAGGCCTCTCTTGGGGGCGGAGGCTGGCCCTCGGGTCCAGCAGTGCCCACCCTGCCCACCACACCCTGACGATGCGGGCCCTGGGCCAACCACGCCTGCTCCCCTCCGCAGGGCCTTTAGCTCTCTGGGGGCTGGGAATGCCAGGGGACAGGGGACATTCTCCATCTCAGCCACAGGCAGGCGCCCACACCTTCTTTCCTAAGGCCGCCGCCTACGGGTGTTGAGAACCTCCACACGCACACACACGCACATGGGATGCACACAACACACACAGGCACGCACACGTGTGTATACTAACACTGAGAACATGCAGGAAGCACATGAACACAGGCACAACGCACACACGTGCAGATGCACGCCGGCAAGCACCCTGCATGCATGCACACACAATGAGCAAAAATGAGCACCCACACAAACCCGTGGTGGCCTCCATGGCACGCACACGCACACACATGAGCACACACGCTAGCACCCCAACATGGGCAACCATGCATCCACTCACATGCATAGGACACATCACACACACGGACAGGCACAGACACATCCACGCAGCAGACAGTCCCCAGGCACGTGCTCGCACAGCCCCGCCTAGAGCTCGGCTTCTGAGTCGGTGGCGTCCCCTGTGCCCGCCCTTCCCCGCCAAAGGGAAGTTTGCCTCCCGCGGGGCCCAGCGGCGGCTGCAGCGGGTGGGCTTCAGGCTCCCGCACCTGCTGACGCCCGGGCCAGTGAGTCCCTTCTCCAGGCTGCAGGAGCCCGAGGCCTGCGCACACCCGGGTCCCTAAGGGCAGCTGCTCCTCTCGAACCCCAGGCTGGGCTGTGCCCTGATCCCCGCCTGGCCCTGGGGTCGAGCTCCCCTCACCGATGGGCCGGGGTGGCTGTCCTGCCCCCTCCTCTCGGCCCTGGGCTGCCCGCCCGCCCACCCGCCCGCCCTGCGCTGCCCTCACAGCAAGAACACGCCGTGCTTGTGCCCGCGCAGCTGCCGGTGGGCCAGCCAGGGCTCCAGGACCATCCTGCGGGGCTGGCAGCCCTCCGCCTGCTTCAGCTTCTCCACGTCCTCGGGCAGCGTCACGCACACCATGTGCCTCCCTCCCACGTCATACCTGGGACAGAGGCAAAGCCGTGGGGGCCGCGTCCCCGGGCCACGCGGAGACCTCCCCTCCCCCTTCCCTCCCCCTTCCCTCCCCGGGGCTCCGAGGGGCAGCCCCTCCCGCTGTGCCACGGGGCCGCTCGCTCTCGCCCCCGGAGGAGCCTAGCCCACCTTCCCAGGGCGCAGAGCCCCAGGCGGCGGCGTGTCAGTGGCGGGCAGGGCGGCCGCACCTGAAAATGGGCCCCAGCTCCTGGAAGGCCCGCTGCATCTGCAGGTGCAGGTCCTCGGAGCCCTCCCTCCAGACGCGCAGCACCCGCAGCCACCTGCTGCCGGGGCACCGGGGCATGGCCTCGAAGGGTAGCGTCGCCCGGGGAGCCGCCGCGGCGCTGGTGGCCAGGGTGCGCGCCCAGCGCAGGGGCTGCTGGGGCCCTGCCATCCTCACGGCCGCCCTGGCCCGGAATGCCATGCCCGGCTCCCTCGCCCCTCCACCCGACTCTCTTATCTCGCTCAGAGGCTTGACTGGCTGGCTGATGGCGTCATGGAAGAAAGTGTCCCTGGACCAGGCCAGGATGCCCGGGAAGGGGTCAGGGCTGGCAGGGTCAGGGCTGGTGGGGTCTCCCAGAGGAGATGGGGATGTGGGTGGGCGCCTTGTCCTAGGTTCCCCGCGGCCTGCTGCGGGCTGGTGGGTGTCCGGGGCAGGTGCGGGGTCAGGACTGGGGGCTGGATCAGGCTGGGCTAGACCAGGCCTCCCGCCCCCCCCCCCCCATGTTGAAGGGAGCAAGATGGATGGGGCCTTATCTTATCAGATGAGAGGGGCCTTGGCTATTTTTATCTCCTTTCAGGAAGGCGGGCTGCCCGCCTCCCAGGCCTCACGCGGCTGCAGGCAGTGGAGACAGATGCTGGCCAGGGTCCCTCCCAGGGGCGACCCTCCACCCCGGCAGTTAGGGAGTCCAGAGGCGGAAGTGGGGTGGCACTAGGCACCAGGGACCTGTCTGGCCGGCTGGCTGGTCCAGCTGAGTGAGCACCCAGGAGACGAGGGCCACTCCTGAGGCTGATAGGACACAGCTTGCCTTGGTCCTGCCCGCCCCTGGGCTGTGCCCTGTGCCTGGTGCCCACACCTGCTTGCTCACCCTGAAGTGGGCTCTCAGGGGCAGGCCGAAGGGCAGATGGAGTGGTGGTGGGCTCCCCACTCTCCTGGGGTCATCCCAGCAGGCGCACCACGGAGCTGACCTGGGCGGGGTACCATGTTGGGTCCATGCTGCCTTCTCAGTGCCCCGGGCAGCATTCCCACCAAGTGGGTCTCACAATCGCTGTTCCCATTTTCAGACCAGGAGACTGAGGCCTAGGGCTCTGTGACCTCCCAAGGTGCCTGGCACATCGGGGTCCCCGGAGCTGAGCCTACCGGCCTGACCCTGATTTGGGGCTGGGGCTGGGGCCATGAGGCCTCTGCTCAGGCTCCAGAGGCAGGACAGAGGGCGTGTGTGTTTAGCGGGGAGGGCCACGCTCCCAGTGCTGTTTCCTTATTTTTTTTTCTAAATATATTTTTACTGGAGGCCCAGTGCATGAAATTTGTGCACGGGTAGGATCCCTAGGTCTAGCCGGCAATCAGGGCCAATCTGCAGGGCGACTGGCGGGGTGATGGGGGGGCCCGCTGGCCCCTGCCTTGGCTGGCCTGGGGCCTGCGGGCTGGGGATAGCTCCTGCACTGAGTGTCTGCCCCCTGGTGGTCAGTGCGTGTCATAGTGACCGTTCGTTCCACCATTGGGTCGATTTGCATATTAGGCTTTTATTATTATAGATTGATTTCAGAGAGGAAGGGAGGGAGAGATAGAAACATCAATGATGAGGGAGAATCATTGATCAGCTGCCTCCTGCACGCCCACGACTGGGGATGGAGCCCACAACCCAGGCACGTGCCCTGACCAGGAATTGAACCGTGACCTCCTGGTTCATAGGTCGACACTCACCAACTGAGCCACGCGGGCCAGGCCCAGTGTGGTTTCCTACTTTCCCTGCTCCTGAGCCTGCCCTGAGGACTCTTCCACTGGGCGATGAGTCAGGCCCAGCCAAGGCCCTTCGGACACTGGAGACGGATGGTGTACCTCAGCGCCCAGTGGTGACGGCCGTCCTTGGGCAGGGACGCAGGACGTGCAGCCAGACCTTGGACAGCAGGTGCACCAGCCCAGGCCCCACCGGATGCCTCTCCTGCTGCCCGCCCTGCCTGCTCCACCCACACCCTCTGGTCTCCTGCTGTTCTTGGGGCCTTGGGGGATGTAGACATGTGCCCCCCTTTGATGTCCCTGCACACTGAGCCCCAAGAAAGCTGGGGCCAGAGCCTGTGCCTCGCCCACAGGAGCTGTGGGGACAGCATGACAGGAGGCGCCAGCGGCAGAGCCCAAGCCCAGTCCTGAAATCAGGAGCCGGGTCCCAGCAGAGCATCCTGGCGACACCTCACACCGATGACCACAGGCGAGGGCTCGGCGCGCCTGGCCCAGTCACCACTGTGCCCCCCACAAGTCCCAGACCCACCGGGCCTCATGGGCAGGAAATCCGGTGGCTCCCACCTCAGAGCTGCGGGGCATCGCTGCGCATCATATGGGGGTATTGAATCCACACGTCGCACTGTTAGACTTACCCGTGTTCTAGGACAGCTGCATCTCAATTGAGCTGGGAAGCACGTTTCTGACATGAGTAAAAAAAGAAAAGAAATTCTTTTTTTTAATATTGTTTAAAGTATTACATATGTCTCCTTTTCCCCCCATTGACCCGTCCCCTTATTTTTTTAAAAACATATTTTATTGATATTTAGAGAGGGAGAGAGAGAGAAACATCAATGATAAGAGAGAATCACTGATTGGCTGCCTCCTGCACGGCCCACACTGGGGATCAAGCCCACACCCAGCCATGTGCCCTGACCGGGAATTGAATTGTGACCACATGGTTCATAGGTCGACACTCAACCACTGAGCCACACCGGCCAGGCTAATGTGGTTTTAAGTAAAAAATAAAAATTTACTTCACTGGTATTCTGAATACCAAGTGCTAATAAAATCAATACTAAAATAATGAAAATTTTGAATTTTTTCTTCACCGTTACCCTGTGTGACGCCAGTTTTAAATGCAGAGCATTGAGCTCACATGAGGCCTCACCAAGATCACAGATGTGAGTTTCCTAGTTTGCACAGCAGATGCTTCTGTTCTCACCAGAGCAGTGATAAGGCCTGGAGACGGACAAGAAGGCGGTTGTAAGGCGGTAATTGTGGTAAAATACAAGCAACAGACTGACAGTGGAACCATGTCTAAGGGGGCAGTGCATTCGCACGAAAGTTCAAACTGCTGCCCGGTGTGGCTCAGTGGATAGAGCCTCGGCCTGCGGACTGAAAGGTCCCGGGTTCGATTCCGGTCAAGGGCACGTACCTTGGTTGCGGGCGCATCCCCAGTAGGAGGTGTGCGGAGGGGACAGCCTGCAGGCGGTCCGCTCAGAATAGGAGGGTCCCTGTGCGAGGGGGCGAGGAGGCATGAGCTAGAACGGAGCCTTGTAGGGACTACACGGACGGAAGCGCGGAGAGGCCATGGACGGAACATACTAGAACATGAGAGGAATGCGCGGCACCGTGCAGAAGTGTAAGTGTGCGGCGCCGGTCCTGGGAGGGCAGGAGGGGCTGGAGCGGCAGTGAGACTTGAAGAAATCCTGGCTGAGGGTTTCCAACGCCATCCAGCCACAGACCCAGGGGCTCTGAGAGCCCGAGCGCCCACCGCCGGCTGGTGAAAATGAAGGGAAAGAGGAAATGTAAGCAGTGGCCGGCAGGAAGGACAATGACGTTCAACGAGCGAGAGGCCCGAGGCTGGAAGGCCGCGGAGGGACCCGGAATTAGGGCGCTTTGGGGTCAGGAAGGGCCGCCAGCCTTTCTCACCATCACCCCACGGGAGGAAGCACTAACCTGCATCAGGCAGAGGGACGGCCACCCAGGTGCAGGGAGAGAGCGAGTGCGGACAAAGGGGCCGAGCAAAAGGCAGGAAAACTAAACGCGCCGACGGTTGTAAGTCACGCCGTGTGGGATCGAACACGCACACACACGAGACACAGTTAGCAGAACAGACACGTTGTCAACGAGAACTTACAACCCGGAGCCCAAAGGCTCACCCAGACCCGGCAACACGGGCCCCGCCCACAGCACTGCTGTGCCGCCGCCGCCTGGTGGCAGCAGACAGTAACTGCGAGAAGCCGCGGGAGAAAAGTTCCATCAGCGCCTGTCGGATGAGCAGGTCATTGCTGTTTTCTGCCGCATTTCTTTTTAAGAAAAAATAGTAAAATGCAAAGTGACATCTGAGCATCATAGAGAATTCAGCAAAACAAGCTGAAATCCCAAAGATGGGAGGAAAACAACAACCCCAGTCCCAGCAGCCGGAACAGCCAACACCGTTGGGTGAGCTTCATTTTGGACGACTTCGCACGCAAACACAGAGAGAAGCCTGGGTGAGGCACAGATGGGCAGAGATACTGTCATAAACCGTAACAATCATACTTCAGATGCAACTTCAACTTTAATTTTACTTGATTTTCACAAGAAAAAGAAAGAGAAGTTGATGGAATTGCCGGATTCATAGAAATAGTTCCTCTAGACAAGAGAGGCCCGAGGCTAGAAGACCTGAAACAGTGGTCGGCAAACCGCGGCTCGCGAGCCGCATGCGGCTCTTTGGCCCCGTGAGTGTGGCTCTTCCACAAAATACCGACTTCCGCGCGTGGGCCACGAAGTTTCAATCGCACTGTACGTGGGCCCGCACGTGGTGTTTGGTGCCACAGCCCCGCGGGTCCCCTGCCTCCCGCCCGCCGGACCTGCCTCCCCTCCTGCGCCCTCACGGGGGCCGAGGACTCGAACCCGGGACTCGAACCCGGGACCTCCCGTTACTGTCCCCTGGTATCCACCACGCGGCGCCCGCCCTTCCGGAACCTTCACCCCCAAAGCGCCTGCCCTTCTGGAACCTTCTCCCCACAAAGCGCCCGACCTTCTGGAACCTTCTCCCCCAAAGCGCCTGCCTTTCTGGACCCTTCTCCCCCCAAAGCGCCCGCCCTTCTGGCACCTTCCGCCCTTGGGAGTGGGAGCCTGGCCTCGGCAGCTGAGTGCGGGGCCTTCAGGGAGCGCATCCCGGGGCGGGGCCTCGGGCCCAGCGGCTCCTGCAGCGCATGCGCCGCTTCTGGAAGGTTCGGCCTGGCCTTCGTGGTTCAGGCGCCACAGGGACCAGGTAGGTGGGTCCAGGCAGCGCTGCTCCGCTGACTGGAGCCCCGGGTGCGGGCGGGGCCTCCCCAATCCCGGCCGCCGGCCACGCGTGCCGCCCCGACCCGGACTGCAGGCAGGGTGCTCGTGAGGAACATTCCAGAAGGAGCCCAGGACCTCACCTGCAGGGACCTCAGGCTTCCTTGCCCGGGGCTCCGCAGGTGCCCTGTGGGGGGCCCCCCCGCGATGGGCGGGGAGGAGTCGCAGGGGGACAGGAAGGGGCAGGGGTGCGGGGGAGAAGGGGGTGCGGGGACGGGTCCGCGCGGTCCGGGGCTGGGCCCTGCGTGGTGGACACAGGCCCCGGGGCTGCCCCGGTGAGGAGCAGGGGGCGGGCCCTGTGTCCATGGCAACAGGCTTTGACGGACACCTGCTCCGCCAGGGCCGGCGCCGCTGGAGATGACGGTCCTCCTGGCCTTCCTCCTGGCCCTGGGCCTGCCGCGGGCGGAGACCAACGTCACCGGGACTGGGCGGCAAGGTGGGTCCTGCACGCGCCGGAGCCGGAGCCGCGGCGCGAGGGCCGGTGGGCTGGGCGCTGGGCGGGTGCCGGGCAGACACCAGAGCCCGGGGTCTCTGTTCCCAGAGCCGCAGGGTGCGAGGTGCCAGGGGTGTGGGGTGGGGTGCTCCTGGGTCAGGAGTGGGTGCATGTCTGGGTGTGGGCGTGAGGGGAGCCAGGAGAAGAGACAAGGAACTCGGGTGGGTGCGCGGTGGGGCGAGGGGGATGGGCCCCGGGAGGGGGGACGGGGGGGGGGGGGACGGGGGAAGGGCGGGGCGGGGCAGGGGCGGGGCTAGGAGGGGCGGGGCTAAGAGGGGCGGGGGGTGTGGGGTCGGGGCGGGGCGGGGCGGGGCTAGGAGGGGCGGGGCTAGGAGGGGCGGGGGTGTGGGGTCGGGGCTTGGCGGGGCTAGGAGGGGCGGGGTGTGTGGGGTCGGGGCAGGGCGGGGCGGGGCGGGCTAGGAGGGGTGGGGGTGTGTGGGGTCGGGGCGGGGCTGGGCGGGGGCGGGGCTAGGAGGGGTGGGGGGTGTGTGGGGTCGGGGCGGGGCTGGGTGGGGGCGGGGCTAGGAGGGGCGGGGTGTGTGGGGTCGGGGCAGGGCGGGGCGGGGCGGGGCTAGGAGGGGTGGGGGTGTGTGGGGTCGGGGCGGGGCTGGGTGGGGGCGGGGCTAGGAGGGGTGGGGGTGTGTGGGGTCGGGGCGGGGCTGGGTGGGGGCGGGGCTAGGAGGGGCGGGGTGTGTGGGGTCGGGGCAGGGCGGGGCGGGGCGGGGCTAGGAGGGGTGGGGGTGTGTGGGGTCGGGGCAGGGCGGGGCGGGGCGGGGCTAGGAGGGGTGGGGGTGTGTGGGGTCGGGGCGGGGCTGGGCGGGGGCGGGGCTAGGAGGGGTGGGGGTGTGTGGGGTCGGGGCGGGGCTGGGCGGGGGCGGGGCTAGGAGGGGTGGGGGTGTGTGGGGTCGGGGCGGGGCTAGAAGGGGCGGGGGTGTGTGGGGTCGGGGCGGGGCGGGGCCGGGCCGGGGGTCTTGGGGGGGGCCCTGACGCGGAGCCGCCCGCTCCCCAGGCGCGCTGCAGTGCCACTCGTGCGAGGAGTTCTACACGCTGAGCTGCGCCAAGGCCACCGAGTGCGAGCCCGGCAACGTCTTCTGTGTCACCGTTGTCGTGAGTAAGTCGAGTGGACCCCGAGCAGCAGGGCCGTGAGCTGTGAGGGCCACGCACCTGGGCATTTTTAACGGACCGTGTGGCTCACCAGCGCCCTGACCGGGAGCCAGCGCGGAGCTGGCCCACACCCAGCCTGGCACCAGCGGCTCCCGGGGCCAGCTCCGAGCCCTGGGCCGTGGCTCCCACGCGTGTGTGTGCTCACAGAGGCCTCAGCGCCGGTGGCTCCCAGACAGAGCCCGGCACAGGGACAGGCCCCGCGTGGGGCGGGTGACACCGACCGCACAGCGCGGCCCGCACCGGCCGGCCCACGATGGCTGCTGCCCGCCCGGGCGCCCTCTCCGTGGGCCTCTGGGTGGGTGAGGCGCCCGGACCCCGGGCCGGGCGGGCTCCGCAGGAGCCGTGCGGTGTCGCTGCTGGCCGCTGACGTGGCGCCGCCTCCGGCCTGTTCCCCGCAGGAATGCTGGTCCGTTTCTTCTACGTGTCCAGGCAGTGCACGGAGTACTGTCCAGTCATCAGGCCGTTCGACGTGCTGCCGTACCAGTCTTATGTCCTCCTGAAGCCGACGCCTTTCCTCTACGCCTCGTGCTGCCGGACGCCGCTGTGCAACACGGACAGCCCGACCATCAACGACACCGAGTGGCAGTACTACCGCGAGGCGGGGGGCGCGCGGCGCCGCGGCGGGGCCGGGCTCGGGCTGGCGCTGCTGCTGGCGCTCGCCGCCCTGTCCCTGGGCCTCAGACCGTCCTGAGCGCATGGCCGCTCCGGGCGGCCGCCTCGCTCCTAGGAGCCCTCCCTTGGGGGTGGGCTGTGGCATTAAACTTGTTTCCTGGATGGCGGTCTGGTGGTCTGGCTTCCGCGGGCGTGGGACCCGGAGGCAGGGAGGGTCGGGCTGGCCCAGGGCTGCTGGTGGCAGTTGTGTTTACAAAGGGGGAGCCGGCTTGTGGGGGATGGTGATGACGTAGGGACACACATCACCCCCACTCAGGATGCAATATGGGAAGTAGGAAGGGAATAGGAGACATTCTGTTCATTCCTTTTGTCTTTTTTGTTTTTTTTTAAAAATATATTTTATTGATTTTTTACAGAGAGAAGGGAGAGAGATAGAGAGTTAGAAACATCGATGAGAGAGAAACATCGATCAGCTGCCTCCTGCACATCTCCCACTGGGGAAGTGCCCGCAACCCAGGTACATGCCCTTGACCGGAATCGAACCCGGGACCCCTCAGTCCGCAGGCCGACGCTCTATCCACTGAGCCAAACCGGTTTCGGCCCTTTTGACTTTTTAAAAATGTGTTTTTAATGATTTTTTAGAGAGAGGAAGGGAGGAGGGAGAGGCTGACGCATGGCTGTGAGTAAGCGGTGACCGGCTGCCTCCTGCACCCCCGGCACTGCTGTCTCTGAAATGCAGCCTGCGGCCCCATCGCCTATGACTGGCAGCCTCCGCCCTCTCCTCACCTCCCAGCGCTGCAGGAGGGGCTGCAGGACCACCGTGAAGAGTAGCGTTCGGAGGCTCTGGACTTTGGGGCTCACAGGGTCAGAGCAGGAGGCGGAGTGCGGGGGGGGTGGGGGGGGCAGGACCCCTGGTGTGGGTAGGGTGTCAGCCTGGGACCCTGTCCTGATGAGGGAGACGCTGCAGCTGCTCATCCTTAGCTCGTCCTCCCAGATCCCAGGAGTCAGGAGAGAAGGGACTCCACTGCACGAACTTGGACTTCACCCCCAATGTCACCAGAGTGGGGACACCCCATTCTCCCCCGTGCTCTGTCCTACCTCCGTCCCTGGGGCCAGGTGGAGAGCATTGGGGCCCACATTGTTCACACGTGGTTTAAAGGCATGGTTCACACGTGCACCCATGCCAAGAGGGCCAAAGAGTCAGGCTCCAGTTCTGCAGGGAATCAGTGCTTCTCCCTGGGTCGGGTGGACTCAGGGGGGTGAGGGGGGGGGCAGCCTGGGAACCTTCCAGAAAGAGTCTCCGTGGCCCCAGAAGGAGGCAGGGAGGGCAGGCAGAGGGGTCTCCTGTGCCATCCCCGAGGCGCACGGAGGAGGCGTCTGTGTCCCATCTGAACCTGCACCCAGACGCCTCAGTCTCGGGGGACAGGAGGGCGGCCCCTGTGGGTGGCCGGCAGCCCCCGAGCGGGAGCGCATTGGTGGCCTCTGTTAGGTCCCCGTGTGCTCACCCTGCCCCACACCTACTGCTCACCCGCTCAGCGTGGGGAGCAGCCGTGCTGGGGGTGTGGGGTGTGGGGGTGGGGGGCAGGCCAGCGGGGCGCTGCGCGGAGGCGCAGAGAAGCAGGGCAGCCGGGCAGGCGTCCCGACAGGAGGCGGGTGGGCGAGGAGGGGGTCACTTTCCAGGCCTGGGCAGTGGGAGACGGGGCATCACCGGAGGGAGCGGGGGTCGGTGCCGGTGCCCGGACAGCCTCCTGGGGGGTCCCTGCGGACGAGGGCGGAGGGGAGCGCGGGACGAGCGGGGGGGAGGCTTCCTCAGCTGCAGGCACGGGGTGTCCTCTGCTCCCGGAAGTGCAGGGGCGGAAGCGCAGCTGCAGGGCAGCGACCCAGCCAGGAGCAGGGGGTGGTGGTGCGAGCGCGGGTACTTCTGGGAGCGCAGGCCCGCTGGGGGCGGGGTCTCCAGAGGCCCCACTGGCTCCCATCATGCTTCGCGCAGCTTCTTGAAAGTTCTGCTTCACTCCCATGACAGTTGGGCCAGCCCAGAAGGTTCCATAAGGTCAGGAGCTTTGGGGGGGGCGGGTCCCATAAGGTCAGGCGCTTTGGGGGGGGGGGTTCTAAAAGGGCAGGAGCTTTGGGGGGCGGGTTCCATAAGGTCAGGCACTTTGGGGGGCAGGGTTCCAAAAGGCTGGGAGCCTGTAGGTAGAAGGGAGGTGTGGAAGGTTCCAGAAGGTCTGGGCGCATCCTGGGCGGAGTCCGCAGGCCCAGACCTCAGCCTTGGGTCAGGGGTGCGGTCCTGGGGGGCAGCCTTGGGACAGGAGCCCAGCATAGGGGTCATCAGCCTGCCGAGCTCCAGCCCCGCCCCTACCCGCCTCCCCCTCCCCCTGCTCCGCCCACCTGCGCCCTGGCCTCCTGCCCACAGGTCGGTCAGTCCTGCCCACGATGCTGCTGCTCTGCGCCCTGCTCCTGTCCGGGCTGCAGCTGGGGATGAGCAAATGTGAGTGCCCGCCCCGCCAGGTCTGAGGGAGAGGCCCCCCCATGGACCCTGGTCCTGGGAAGGTTGGGGTGCGGTTCCCACCCTTCGCCAGCCGGAGCCTCTGGACCCCGAGCCAGGAGGGGTGTAGTGTGGGGGGGGGGGACTTGGTCTGGAGCCGCGCCCTGGAGGCCTGTGGGGCTCCACTCAGGCAGGCAGCAGGGGTGCCGGGTCCAGGGAGATCTGGGGGTACTGGCCTCTGAGGGGGCCGCACCCCCGGAGCAGAGGTCTCCGGCTACCCTGCGGGGTTCCCTGGGCCTGCCTCTGGGAACAGGTGCACTCCCGCTGGACTTGGCTGCGCCCAGGGAGCTGGTCCTGCCCAGCCTCACAGCCCGCCCAGGGCTGAGCCCTGCGCACCCCAACCTCAAGGCTGGGAGAGGGGCGGGGTGGGCAGGCAGTGCTGGTGCAGGAGCGCCCCTCTCTCCTCAGTCACCTACAGCCTGAGATGCTACGAGTGTGCGACCATCAACACCTTCGAGTGTTCGAATCTTAAGACCTGCGAATACGAGATCAGGCGCTGTCTGACGGTCTCCATCCGTGAGTGCCCTGCCTCCCCGCGCACAGGGGCCGCCGAGGACGTCCAGGGCAGAGCCAGGCGGCTTGGGCTGCGCAGCCCTGGCCCTGCCTGCTCTGTCCGGTCCCAGCGGCATGTGGTCAGGCACCGGTGGGCCCCCGGGACAGCAGTGGGAGCCGCCCCGCAGAGCCACGTGCTGGCAGTGGATGTGGCTCCCAGGGTCCCCAGCGCCTGGCTGGGAGTGAGGCCGAAGCTCAAGGCCTCCACCTGGTGCCCCCTGTGGCCAGGCGGTGCCTCGTGCCCCAGTGACTCTGGTCTCTTGAAGCTGACCAGCTGCCAGGCCAAGGAGCGGCCGCCCGCTGGCCTCCGGGACGACTCCTGCCCCACAGGAGGCCAGGCACGGGGCCAGAGCAGAGCCTGAGGTCCAGGGTGCTTCTCTTTGTCTCTCTGTCACCAGTAAACATATTCTCGGTGAGGACAGAGCAGAGGGAACAGGGCATTTCATCGGTGTGGCTGCATAAGGAGCCCATCACTCTCCGGGGGCTGAGCGGAGATGCTGGCCGCCCAGAGGGCACACCTGCGGGACCAGCTGCTGCTGGAGTCCTCGATCCTCTGGAGGACTTGGATATTCTTTCTCAGTCAGGAATTCTAGCCAGGGGCCTGGCCGGGGTGGTTCAGTGGTTGGGCACCGTCCCGGGCACCCAAAGGTTGCGGGTTCGATTCCTGGTCAGGGCACATACCTGGGTTGGGGGCTTGATCCCCAGGAGGGGGTGTGCAGGAGGCAGCCGATAGATGTTTCTCTTTCATCGATGTTTTTCTCTCTCCCTCTCCTTCCCTCTCTCTGTAAAAGTCAATTTAAAAATTAAAAGAAAAGAATTCTAGCAACGTAGCGACATCTGTGGTGAGGCTGTGGGCACGGCACAGTCCCCGATAGAAGCGTGAGCGTGAGCGTGCCTGGTGTTTACAAGCAGAAAACGTGAAGCAGTGGCTTCCTTTCCAGGCCTGAACTCCCGGGAAGTGCTCGTGTACAAGAACTGCACGAACAACTGCACGTTCGTCTATGAGTCCGAGATGCCGCCCCCAGCCCCTAAGGCCCTGAGGACCAACAGCTTCTACTGGGTGAGGTGCTGCGGCCTCATGAGCTGCAACGTCGGGGGGCCCACCAACCTGGAGCGGGACATCCTTCCCGACCAGACCATCGAGGAGGAGCTGGAAGGGGCCGTGCGCCTGGGAGGCGGGGGGCTCTGGGGAGCCCTCCTGAGCTGTGCCTGCATCCTCCTGAGCAGCGCCCTGACGTGAGAAGAACTCGCCTCGGTGACCGGGTCCCCCGCCCCCACCCCCATTCCTCAGTGCAAGTTCACGCCCCTTTGCTGTCTTGTGAGCCAGTTACCATTCACAGCGAGTCACCCAGGCGCGGAGAGAAATAAAGGGCTTCCGTGGAGCTGGTGTTGAGAAGTGTGCTTCCCTCTAACGTCCCGCACACAGGCCACACTTTCTCCCAGCGAAGCCCAGCAGCTGCAGGGAGGGTGTCCTGGAACAGGGTCCCAGCCGCGCAGAGCTCAGGCCCCTCCGCCCCTGGCCGTCCTGCAGGTCTGGGCTGGGCAGCCGAACAGAGCCTGTGCCTGGCGCCAGGGCCACTGCCCTGGGGACTGCCCTGCGTCCCTGTGCGGGCCACCCAGCTCTGCGGGAACTGGTCGTGTTCCCCCAGGGACTGCTGAGTAGGGCGAGGGACCCCAAAGCCGCTGCGATGGCCTGGAAACCCGGGGAGTCTGGCTGCTGCCGCCAGGTCTCTGAATCGCTGCCTGACTTTAATTCTGGGACCACAGTCACCGCACAAACTCAGCATCTAACAGGGCGGGACTCGGCATTTTAGCATGTTCACCAGGTGCAGCCATCACTACTCAGGGCAGGACACTTTCACCCTAGAAAGAACCCTGCCTCAAATATGCAGCCCCCCTGCTCCCCAGCCGGGCACTGGGCTGGGCTGGGTCTCTGGAGCTGGGTGCCCGGCTCTGGGCAGGCTCCCGGGAGCCGTGTCTGCAGGGGAGGAGGGTGGAGAGAGGTGGGAGAGGAAGCACCGCTCGCAGCAGGGCCCGCGGGGAGGCCTCCTATGGAGGTGGAGAC